GAGAGTCCGTGTTATCAAGTTACGAACTCGTTAATACAAGCATTTTGAAACTCCGTATATTCATGGAATACTTAACATGTAATCATAAACGTTCGTTCAAAGAAAACTCCCAACGTATTGATGATAACCAAACAGTCAAAATGGGAATCAGCGTGCCTTGGTAATCGATTTACAGAACGGAATAATCGACTATCAGGTCACGCTGAACTCCTCAGTTGATCCAGCATAGTGTGACAATCGATTATCACATAAGTGGTAATCGATTATCAGACCCTGCGGATTCTTGAGTAAGAGCTGGTTCACTTGACAATCGATTATCACGGAGCAGTAGTCGATTATCAGGTCTCTCTGAACTTAGGACTTTCCTGATAAACCAACTGGACAGTCGATTGTCATAGGGTGACAATCGATTATCACAGTCTACAGGACTTTGGGGACAGAAGCTGCACAACATGATAAGCGATTATCAACAGCAGATAATCGATTATCAGCAAGTTCTGAACCCAGGGCCAGCATGTTGAATGAACCGTAATCAAACACATATGTAAGAATTGAATTTAACTCTTTTCTTTAATCAATACATTCATTTCATCATGTTCGTTCTAGACGGATGTTCTAGGTTTCCATCATATGCATACCGCTGTAGGGAGGACTTCAAGCGCCTACTACAGTGGGCCCGTCCAGGAACCTTTAGGGACCAGCATGTTTTCATCATGTTGGGCTTGTGTACGTACATAGTAGTCAGGTTACGGCTACTACCCGGTTCCGCTAGTCCACTCGCGATGTTTTCGTCGTGCCCGGCTCGTTACCGTTCCGGAACGATGACCGGAGTGCAGGGGTGATCCTGTCGAGTGAGACTAAGCCAGGGGTGTCCCTGATAGTTTAAGTCATGCACCAAAGTCATATCATCATCATTATGTTCCTTGTTATTCGAAACAGCTTTAGCAGGTGAAAACTAAACAGTTAGTAACGTGTGGTGTCCCGTACGTTAAGTACAGGTATTGATATGGGTATAGCCACATGGGTTATCACTTCATGTTCTTTTGTTAGATTCACTCCTCAGCTTTTGCTGAGCGTGTAGTTGTTTTTGTTACATGCAGGTAGACATGACAGAGTAGGTGCCAACCCTGGAGAGCGGTGACGATGGGGAGACGGGCGGCGCACGGACGAACTCTTAATTACTTTCAGTAACTTCGTTAATCAATACCCGTACTTGGGTGGGAACAGCAATAAATTAAACCTGACTTGAATAAATTAATGAAGGCGTTAATGAGACGTGAAAATAATGTGTGCATAACCCTCATTGAGGGACCGTTTTATTCCTTTAATTAGAACCCAACCGTTTTCTTATTAAATAAACATTTATGTTTCCGTAACGGATGGTTCTCGGACTGTCCATGTAACTCTACCGGTCCGTTGGGTCGCGGGTGAACCGGGTCCACGGAAGGCGGGTGTTACAGTTCGAGATAGCCGTTGTAAAATCTCGGAGTGAATCCTATTGGCAAGGGTTGTTTGCCAAAACTAGTGCGGTGCTTTGACGGAGTTCAAGAGGCCGGGACTTAGTGGATTCGGAAACCCTTGAGGAGGAGCCTTGAGGTACTGGAGTAGGGGTTTCCCGAACCAGTATAAAATCAATGTGCATTTTATTTACGCTTTTATTTCTGCATTTTATATATTCCTTCCGCATTTGCAAACACCGTTTTTATCAAACTCCGAAAAGATTTTAAACGCCTTATTCACCCCCCTTTAAGGCGTGGGCACAACGACTAAACCGACCTACACTGTTGTCATTCTTAGACTTAGAGAAATGTGCCCCCTAGCAGCGCCATGGGTAGATTTCTACACCAAAAGTGTGATTGTCATGTTTAAAGTTTGTGTGTTCAATATGGATTAGAAGCTCTGGGGGACTTTGTCCAATATTAAGGGTGGGTTAAAAAAGATTTGGGGTAGTCGTATTCATTCAAAGGCATGGAAGTGTTACAGTAAATCAAGGAATAGAAACCAATAACATTTGCTAAAGATATTACAATTAGATAGAATAGTACATATCAGTTGATTGCACAGGTTCTGAGCTACAAAGGACTTGCTTCATTTCTCAGGTTTGAACTTCATTATACAGTTGATTTTAGTGAAGTTATTATTGTTGAAAAATTTAATGCCGAGTAAGAAGTTTTTAATAATGCAACTCTTACTTTCTCACATGTTTACCAACCTTGGACAAATAGATTTTTTCAGAGTGTATTACAATTGCAACATATTTTCGTGGAAACTTATCTAATCCAGAGTTGTACCCTATGTAACACTCGGGCCCCCACCTTGGCCATAAGAGTCTGCTCATAGGATTATAGACTGGCCCCACAAACCAACACAACTCTTTCCCGCGCACTTTGTCCTCACTCATGCGCGCCCAAAGAATTTTCCAGGGGGTCACCCATCATAAAGTTGCTTCAAGTCAAGCATGCTTCACTTTAGAGTTTCTAAGTGATGAGCTCTCGAAAAGAAGATACACCTTGTAGATATAAGTAGTACTATCAATCCTTTTAAGCTATTCCCATTCCCATCTTAATACAAGGTATTACACCCTATGTCATTCCTATGAAGGATAAATAGTGTGCTTATTATTTGCATATTCCAGATATTTATAAAATTGGTATTACTTGTGATCCTTGCTTTAAGATTGATAATTTTAAAATTCTGATAGAGTATTACTTTAGTTGTTTTTTAGCTGAAAATAATTATTTCTACAATCATTTAATAGAATGGACAAAAGAGAGAGATAATTCTATTGATCTTTTTGAGTCATTATTTAAAGAGTTTCAAGCGATTTACGGTAATGCACAAGAAGAAACAACACCTCCTCCGCCCCCAAAGCAAAAAAGGGTTAAAGAGATAGTCGGTGGCCTCTTGGCAAAAAGAGGTAAGCGTAGTTCTGCCTCGACGAGTTCAGGTGGTACAACTGTAAGTTCGCACAACGAACTTGCTGTGAACTAAGGAGTGCCATGCGATTACGACGAAGACAACGACAGGGACTTCAACGTCCTCGAATGGTGGAAGCGGAATGAACACATGTTTCCGTCTCTCGGAATGCTCACCAGACAAGTCTTATCCATGCCGGTTTCAATCGTAGCTGTGGAACCACAATTTAGTTCTAGCGGCAACATTCTAACCGACTACCGAAGTTGTCTTAGCGCTGAATCACTTGAGACACTTGTTTACATCCGAGATTGGCTCTTTGCAAGACGTCGAGCTTAAGAGTCAGGGTACGACATTGATAGCAAAATTACATGAATGCAACCACAGAGGGAAGCCCTAGTTCCGAGGAATAAGTGAATATTTTTTTTATTTAATTGTAATTAGTTTTTTAGGTGAGCGATATATAAGTTTCTTTGAGGGTTTATTTATGGTTCTTTACCTCATCACTTTTTTTGAACCGTCAAGATATTAAATTTTGTTATTTTTATACTATTCATTTTTCAATATTTAAGTAACAATTACATTTTTAGATATCCTATTTCATAAAAAGTAAAAAGTTATAAATTTCTTTTACTTTTACGTTTACACATTTATAAATTACTCCCTCCGTCCTAAAATGTTCTTCCCACTCACTTTTTACTCGGTCAAACTTTAATCACTTTCTTTACCTATTTTCATTAGATATTTGATTAAATAATATAGTCTTGTCACCACTTGTTTTGTAGAACTTTTGATGTAGTTTTTAAATATATAAATTTTATTTTTTAATTTTACACCTACAATCAAATAAATTGAATTGAAAATAAAGTCGGTCAAAACTCGTAAAATGAACCGGGAAAAACAATATAGGACGGAGGGAGTATAAAAAAAATTAAAAAAATGGAGGCGGAACAAACCGACCGATACAGTGCCAGAACCGTTGGTGCGAGTACCGACGCCGGTACCATTAGCACTAGTATCGGTAACGATGCTATGGGGTGGCGGAACCGAAACCACATGTTCCGACACCGGAATCAGACCGGAATCGTACTGTGTCAGGGGTGACTCTATGTTAATGTTGTTGATTTTTGACCCCATAGGTAGATTGATCCCCTATTTACCGGTCGGCATCCGGTTTAGATCCCAGAACGAGCCATTGAGGTCACCTGGTGATCAACTAAAACCCTAGATGATCACAACGCCCGTCGGCCGTCACCAGCTCTCTCTCTCTCTCATGATTGTGCCGGTCTTCACTTTCCGTAAATAAGAATACCGCTTTGACGATGGAAGACGATGACGAAGTACAGTCACAGCCTTCAGAGGGGACTGGATCTCCGGCATCACCTCGGTCCAACGGCAGGATAACGGTTACGGTTGCATCCGCCCCTCCACCTCCGAACAGTAATACCTTGACCTTAGCTTTACCCATACAACACCTGTCAAAGACCTCCGGAGGTGGTGGCGGCAGCGGGAGAGAAGATTGCTGGAGTGAAGGTGCTACGGCGGTGCTAATTGATGCATGGGGTGAGAGGTACCTAGAGTTGAGTCGGGGAAATTTAAAGCAGCAACACTGGAAAGATGTTGCGGAACTTGTTAGCAGTCGGGATGATTATACCAAACCCCCCAAAACTGATATTCAGTGCAAGAACCGGATTGACACCGTGAAGAAGAAGTACAAGCTGGAGAAGGCGAAGATTGGGGCTGGCCAAGGACCCAGCAGGTGGACATTCTTTGAAAGGCTGGATCAATTGATTGGCCCTGCAGGGAAGACTGAAGGAGGGGAGACTTCCGCAAGCCACCATAAGGTTCCTATGGGTATACCTATGGGAGCAAGATCTGCTTTTCAGCTCCGGCAACACCAGCCACAATCGCTGCAGAGGCAGAAGCCTGGCTTTCGAAGAAGGCCTCCTCATGTTGATTCAGAGACGTCAGAGTCAGAGCCTGAGCCTTCTCCCAATTCAAGTGACAGCTCTCCACCTCCCACTTCTGAGAAAAAGAGGCCTAGGATGAATTCCAGTGTGGTGGCAGTTAGACCACCCACAACAATTTCTAGAGGAGGAGGAGGAGGAGGGTGTGGAGTTGGCACTTCTGATAGTAATTGGGCAAATTCAGTGAGAGAGTTGTCTCAAGCAATTCTAAAGTTCGGGGAGGCTTATGAGCAAGCAGAGAGTGCAAAGCTGCAGCAGATGGTGGAGACTGAAAAGCAGATGATGAAGTTTGCCAAGGAGTTGGAATTGCGGAGAATGCAGTTCTTTATTAAAACACAGTTGGAGTTATCCCAGCTAAAAAACGGGTGGAGTGTTGGTAACAGTATTCACCATTGCAATAAAAACAGCACAGCTGCCAACAATAACAACATCAACAGCAACTAGGAAGCTGCTTAAATTTAGGTTTGTTAACATTCTTTTTCTTAGTCAAATGACTAATGCTTAATTTTTTTTCATCCTGTTAACTAGAAATCCGTAGGATGTTTTTAATGTGGCAGATCTATGGTAAATGTTGTTGTATCATTATTTTACTTTGTGAAACTACTATTTGATATGGATTGGATGCTTGCTTGCAGTTCATTAGTGATAATAATAATTATGTACTTGTTGCTCCCATTAGTGAACATTATTATCACAATGCTTTGTACAGTTATAGTTATGGTATTCAGAAAACATCCATTCTAAATGTTGTTATCCTTGATACATTGATTAATCAGTGTGTTATTTCCTAGGAATTTCATGAAATTTCTCCATTTTCATTGCGGTCTTCCTCAGCTGCCAAGGAAAAGTTACACAATGCAACTCAAATTGCCTACTTTTTCCTTGAATGCACAATGCTTTTCTTCAACTCTTGATGATGTATCCGAGTCCGACCCTTTCAGGTCCTTCCCCACGCCTCACACAATCATGGGAGCCAAAGGACTTACGTTCAAACATTATGATCTATTTTAGTAAGAATTCAAAGTCCTTTAACCCGAAAGGCCAAAATAACTTTTGTTTTTGACCTAAGGGTTCTGCTGGCCAACCCCCATTCCGTCCAACCCAATCCCAAACATCCAAAACTATTTTATTTCCTTTTGATATCCAAAATAAAGTCTCTTCCATCTATTTTAACCGCTAGTCAAAATAAGAAACCAAAATAGCCCCATTCATCTTCTCCCAACAATGGTCCCTACTATGTTCCCTAGTCCAGCCCACTAAACAACCATAAAAGGCCAAGAGACACATGGTAGTTTCTTAACCCTTTAACCACCAAATAGATCATCATATATGCAGCAAAAGTACCACACATCACCCTTTTCCTTTGTCCCCCTAGTTGGCTGCATACATCCCCCAAAATCATCCTAAAAGAATGTCATTCATTCCCCTTGGTTTGCCTTTCATTAGAGACCCTACAACCACACCCATCCCCGATTTTATTCCAATAAAAGGACCCAAACACATGGCTGATATTTCAAAGCTTGAGAGAGGATGTTGCTAGGAAGCTTCCTCATGTTCACATTCATTGCATTGTGTATTATTTTCCCCTTCCCCTCTCCCTATATAATGTAGCCTTAGGGCAATGTGCAGAAACACAATTGAATGATATTAAAACCTTTTACTCTTTGACTATTCTTAAAATAGTGTGATGCTATTTTAGCTAAATTCCTAATTCTATATCTTAAAAGTGGTTATCTTAATTGTGAGTTTTAGGTTCTAGGTATTTGATTAAGTGTGTCATATCTTAATTAGATTCTAGATTCAAACCCCAAGTTAGGATAAGAGTGTGTAATCTCTTAAACACATATAATTGACTATGACACCCTTCTGAACTCTCTTGGCATAATCAGCAAAGCCCAATAATCGATTATCACAAAGTGATAATTGACTATCTGCCCTTCCTGAAACATCTTGGTTTAGCAGCACCACTCGATAATCGATTACCAAAAGGCTATAATCGATTATCACGTGCTCCTGAACTTTGAGTTCAAGAGCTGCTCAAGTTTTGCTTCGAGTTCCTCCGTAAATCTGCCATCAAATTGCTTACATGATAAGACCTCCGATTCAAATATAACATTTGGTATCGGAGCTTTGTGTTGAACATCCCTAAGGAATCATCTTCACACGCCTCCCTCATCTCTTTTGTTACCGTTCATTTCAGCCATACACTTTTGAAGCCATATATTCATCTCCCAAACGTATCACTCATGCCAAGCTCTTCTCAAAACATGTCTCAAGGTGAATTAGCTGCTTCCCAGGAGAAACTAAAGAAGAAAGTTGAGCTTATGATGAAAAAAATCGAGGAGCTCACTAATTCAGTGGACATTCGCACGTTTGAAGGAAGAAACAACCCGAAGAAGTTCTTAAAGTGGTTAGCAAAGGTTGAACATGTCTTTACACTCAAAGACGTACTCGAAGACAAGAAGGTCAAGTTAGTGGTGGCAATGTTTCAAAGACATGCCTCTACTTTAGTAATTGTTTTCGGATGGGGTGTTCTCCTTTTTTACGCATACTTGCTGATATTGAATCCAAGGTGCATTGGTTCACCCAACGCTTTGATGCGGGGGCCGACACAGTTTTAGTAGCGTCCAGAAGTGCTGTGTCGCGCTTCGTCAGATGGCATACAATACGACATCTGATATGTTCGATGAAATACTTGAAGATGTTGGCTCGGAGCATCAGGTCATGTGTTTATAAATTTTTTAAAGTTATTATTCGACTTTATCATAAAAGATATTTACGTAAGCCGACAGCGAGAGACATTGAGCAGTTATAGGCTAGACTGTTAGAATAAATGACCAACGCTAGACGGGGGTGAATAGCGTTTGATCGTTGAAATCGCTGGAATGAAAAATTCAAAGGAGAAGTAAAGAGAAGAGTAAGAGGCACACCGATTTTACCCTGGTTCACCACAACTTGTGGCTAATCCAGCCTCTTGAGAGAATCTCTCGAGCTACACTACTTTCTTGTTAAGCTTAACGGTGCTTAACAAACCCTTAAAACTTAATTGAGAATTTGAGTTACATGAACCTCAACAAGTCCTTCGAAGGAAACAACCCTTCCTTCGAATCAAACAAGAGAAATACTTTCTCTCAACTTGTCTTAAAACACTAATACACTCAAGAACGAGACTCTCTTTAAGAGTAGATGTTGAGTGAATTATATACGCTCAAAAACAACTCAAACTTTACACAAATTGGCTCTAGGAAGCTATGGAAAATGATGTTGTTTGAATGCAATGATAATATGAATAATGTGAAGTGAATTGGTGAGTAAAGCAGACCTAAACACCCCTTTTTATATTGCCAAAATAGGCTCCAACGGATCAACGCATTAAAGGGGTGATTGACATGATTTGTGGGATTGATATGAAAATATAAATCAGCAGGATATTGGCTTTCCCAACGATGTATGAACTTACCCATCGCTGGTAAGCCAATTTTCCTTCAGTTTTGAAGGCAACGGTCACCTACCCATCGATGGGTAAACACTTCCCATCACTGGGTGGGAGGTTGACTTTCAAACAAGGAAAGAATCAGCCTTAAATGACTCACAATGGTCATGCCTAACCAGCGATGGGTATGCCCTCCCATCGCTGAGTTCCCATCGATGGGTAGAAGTCCCCATCGCTGGGTAAGGGTATTCTGCCTTGTGTTTATATTGGACCAAGGCTTGTACAACAATGGGTAGAACTTCCCATCGCTTTTGGCATGGTTCTGGAATTCGGTTGGGCTGAAGGCCCGCTTACCCATCGATGGGTAATGCTTCCCATCGCTGGGTTGATGGTTAGTCAAAAACCCATGGTTTTCGCCTGAGCCATGGCCTAGCCAGCCGATGCTAAAATCAACCGAAAAAAGCAATGTTCTCCAAAGTAAAAACCAAGTGTTTAAAACATTTATTTAATTTATTTGGCTAAGAAATCAAGTGAGACACTTTAAAAACCACGTCATTTGAGTAAAAACCACAGCTAGCCAAGCTTACGCCGTTTCGCATGTTTTTTCCCAAATGACCAACAACGAAAGATGGGTTTTAAAGTGTTTTTGTTGGAGAACTATTTAAATATGCCCAAAAGTAAAAACCAATCATAAAATGTTGAAAACCATTTGGTTGGTTCGGACGCCAAAAACCAACGCCGATAACCGAATGCCGAACGCCGGTTTTTGAAAACCAAATGCCGGTTTCTGAAAGCCGAACGCCGGATGGCTTGGTTTTTGGTTTGGGCGAACACCAAGTGTTTTTAATGTTTTAAACATGTTTGGAAAACATTTTGATGATATGTGAAATGCAATAAAAATGTTTTAGCCTAAAGAGCCAAGGTGAGACTTGGGTCGGTCTAGATCACATTTGTGACCGAGTCAACGACACTAAGCTACGGTCTTTGTTCTTGGTCTTTTTTAGCTCTTGTCCTTATCTTCATTTCTCGCCTTGTGTGTTCAACTATTGTCTTGTTCACGGCGGATTGGCATTATCAAAACTTGTCACAAAAACGAATACGGCTTTAGTACAAAAACGTGATAAACCCTTGTTTCAACAATTTTCTCCCTTTTGATAATGGCAAACAAGACGGGGTTATGCATAGGAGGATTGTTTTGAGATTTTTAATAAAGGTGTTCCCCCTTAATAAATGTAATTTTATTTTCAACAAGGTTTATGTTTTGAATAAGAGTTGATTTTTATATTCTAAACAATTTTATGCCTTAGAAAAGTTCCCCCTCAATCTATGCATAACCTGTTTATATCTTCCCACTTTTGACATTAATAAAAAGAATTGAAAGTAAACTTTTATTCATTTAAAGAAGGGAAATGCGGAATACAACGGATAAAAAAGAAAAATACAATCATATTAAAGGAAAATATACAAAGGTCTAGGAATCGGCGTCCTCGTCGTCGTCGTCGTCGTCGTCATCCTCGACGTCCATGGGATCGCCGTCGACCGCATCTTCAAAGTCTTCCTCATCGGGAGAGGAGGATGGAGCATAGGAGTCGTCGTCTTCATCCCCACCTTCGATGTTTTGGCCGAAGAGGGTGCTGTCAAAAGGCGGCGTGACGTAGTAGATGCCACGGAAGAACGCCGTCATGTCATGATGTTGGCGTTGCAGCGTCCAGTCCATCCGCTCCATGTACTGCCCCATGCTGTCCACTGTGAGGGTTAGCCGATTCAGGGTGTCGACTATAGATTGCAAAGAGGCCTTGGCGGGAGCGGGGGCTGGTGCACGACTTGGGCCTGCGCCGTCTCGGTTTCCAGACTTCTTCTGGAAGGGCCGTCATTAATGAGCCAAATCTTCTTCATCTTAGTGCTTGGTCCGGCAATGTGGATGTCGGAGGAGATGATGAGATCCATGACGAGGAAGGCGTGCGGCAAGCTCCGCTCGGTGGCGAGGGAGGCGCAATCCGCCATGTGAATCATGACGAACTTTGCCTAGTTGATGGAGGTACTGTGGATGATTGCATGATATGCCTTCAGGTCCTCGTTGAAGAGCGAGGTGTGACTGCTGTCCCGGGGGTGGAGAATCCGAGTGAGGATGTAGAGAAGAAGACGCTTCTCCGGCGGGGTCGAGTGGATTGTCGCTGGGCCGCTGTGGCGAATGAGGTTGGTGATCCCTAGCTCTTGAATGACGACCGCCTCGTTGTTGAGGATCCAATCGTCGCCTCCATACGTAGTGATGTCGTCGCCTCGGATAGGCAGCTCTGCAATCCGAGAAAAGGTAGCCAAATCAATCTCTATGTCGTAGAGATTGATGCTACTATAGATTGTGTCACCTTCGCGGCAGAGATTTGAGTAGAATGCTCGGACGAAGGTGGGATTGTAGGTCGTGCGGCTCTTGGAGACGAAAGGCCACAAACCCGAAGCCTGAAGTTGGTTGTCGAGCTCGTGATACCCCTTTTGTTGGGGGTATAGCTCGGGCAGCACCCTGGGCGGAGAGATGGGACGTTTGGCGAAGTGCGTGAGGAAGCAGGTGAGTTCTTCCTCCGAGCCAAACTCCAAAAAGGATCCGTCAAGGTAAGGGAACGGTTGAGGCGCTGACGTTGTGGCTTCGGTGTTGCCTTTCTACTTGGAAGCTTTCATCTTCTTTCCTCTTGCCATAGTTTAGGTGTTTTTGAATAAAAAAAGGGAAGAAAGCTGTAGGAGAGGCTAAAGCAATGAAATTTGGGATGAAATAAAATGACCAAAAGAAATGGATATTTATAGGGAGAGAGGGGATCAAACCGTTTGAATTAAAAAAATATGGCTGTTGGGCATTAAATGGTGTGCCCAACGGCTATTGTTTTTTTGAACTGTAACAGCCTTCCCAGCAATGGTAGGATCTACCCATCGATGGGAAGGTAGCCACTGGAAAGCGAGGAAGAAGTCAATGCTGCCTTCCGAGCGATGTTAAAGTTCTCCCATCGATTGGAAGGTTTCTACTGGAAAGTGAAGAAATCCTGAAGGTGCCCTTCCCAGCGATGTTAATACCATCCCATCGCTGGGTAGGGGAGTTTTTGGAAATCCATTAAGAATTTTTTTAAAAAATAGTGTCAAACACCCAGCGATGGGAGGATGTTCCCATCGATGGGTAAGGAGGTTCTGGAAGAGAGTTTTTAAATAAATGTCAAACACCCATCGCTGGGAGAAGGTTCTCATCGATGGGTATAGAGGTACTGGAAATCCGTTAAACGTTTTTAAAAAAAATAGAGTCAAGTAGAGAGGTTCTAGAAAGAAAAGACTTCCCTCCCAGCGATGGTATAAGCCACCCATCGCTGGTCCTACATAGATATGCTGTTAAACACAACTTTTTCGGCATGCTTGAGAGCATTAATTGCACGCATTGGGAATGGAAAAATTGTCCCATTGCATGGCATGGTCAGTTCTCCCGGGGCGATCATCCCAAGCCCACTATAATGCTCGAAGGTGTGCCTTCTAATGACTTGTGATTTTAGAATGTTTGTTTTGTGTTGCGGGCTCGAACAACAACATCAATGTTCTTGATCAATCACCTATTTTTGACGATTGGATTAATGAGACTACACCCGACTAGTCTTTTGAGCTCAGAGGGACGCTTTACAAGCGTGGATATTATCTTGCCGATGGAATATATCTAAATTATTCCACAATTCTCAAGTCCCTCTCTGAGCTAATGGGTCTTACACGCCAGACCTACAAAAAAGCACATGAGGCGGTGAGAAAAGCTATCAAACGAGTCTTCGGGGTGTGAAGGGTAAGTAGCACATTCTAGATCGTTCGTCCAAGTGTTATTCTCAAATGACAATGAGTAATATCATGTACGCATGTTATTACAACCCGGACGAGGAGGTGCTGCCTACGTACGAACAAATTGATAAAGAAAAGAAACGAAGAAACCGCCAAGAAATTTAAAGGCAAGAAATTCACAGTGCACTAACGGCGGATTTGATTGAAGATATTTTTAATTGCTTGAATAATCACTAATTTCTTTGTAATGTAATCTGATTTGTAAATTTTTTTATTTATGTTGTTATTATTCAAATCTTGTTTTATTAATGTAAGTTTTTATTGAATGTAATTTTTTTATTTGATGCATTATTATCATTTAAATTCAATTAAATAATAAAATCATATTAATTTAATTTTAGAAGATGTGTATTGAAATGTAAAAGTAGAGGTTTGATGTCCCAATTTGAAACCCCGAGGCTTCAAATTCATTTCTGGTGGTCCCAAAAGTGGTGAGATTCAAAATCTAGAGGGGGGAGGGGGGGGTGAATAGTGTAACGCCCCGAAACCTGGCCCAAAAGAATTAATTAAATTGTTAGAGCAACTGATTACGAATTGGGCCCAAAAAGGGGTTAAAATTATAATTTGGATTCTAAGCCCAACTTTTATGTCATCTCATAGGAAATATTTTTGTGATCGCGTCGGTTCAGACGGCTCGCGAATCGGAGTTATGGAGCTCATGTTATGACCATTTAATCAGGTATTTTGGGTCCGAAGCCCAATCCTTTTTGGAATGGGACCATTAAATAAACCTAAACCTATTATCTACCACACAAACCTTATCTTTTTCTTCTTTCGTTCTTCTTCTTCTTCCGTCCTTCTTCTTCTTCTTCTTCTTCTTCTTCTTCTTCTTCTTCTTCTTCTTCTTCTTCTTCTTCTTCTTCTTCTTTTTCTTCTTCTTCTTCGTCTTCAACAGCCGCC